CTGATATTATTACCGCTTATATGGATAACACTAGTAGTTCTCATGTATTGTCATTGATAGGTTCATTTGAGAAATGACCTCTCAAAAAGTTAAACATAGAGTTACCATATGACCCAGTAATTCCATTCCTTGATATACACCCAAGAGAACTGAAAGCATATGCCTACACAAAAACTTGTGCACAAATGTGCATAATATCATTATTCATAATAACTGAAGGTAGAAACAACCCAAATGCCCATCAATTAATGATAGATAAACAAAATGTATTGAATAGTACAGAAGGTCCTCCAATAACGTTGTTTCTTTAGGATGTTGATGAGAAAAAAAAGTCAACTGTCAGCTGAAAGTTTGCACATTCTCCCACATCTGCATGGGTTTTCTCCAGGTACTCCAGTTTCCTTTTGCATTCCCAAGATGTGCACATTAGGTTCATTGGTGCGTCTAAATTGTACCAGGATGAGTGTGAGTGTGTGTGTGTGTGTGTGTGTGTGAGAGAGAGAGAGAGAGAGAGAGAGAGAGAGAGAGAGGGGCTTGCGATGGAATGATGTCCTGTTTGGGACGCTGAGCTGCCAGATGGGCTCCAATCACCTGAGACCTCGAACTGGAGTAATGGGGCAAATAATTATCTTGCTTGTTTGTATTAATCTTTTAAAAGTGTACATACAGCTCACATTTATTTCCACCTTTAATATTAGAAGTGTTTTTGCTCTTTATTTAGCAGTTTGATGATGTTTTTGTGACCAGAAATATGCTGTAGGAACTTAATTCTTATTTATGTCAATTTGCTTATGGAAAACTTGGGGTTTTTTATACATTGTTTTGCTTAAAGGTTGCCATTTCAAGAACCTATCAATGACAATAAATGAGAACTTACTGTGTATCCATATAATGGAATATTATTCAGGCATAAAATGAAGTACTGATAAATGCCAAAATATGGATAAATCTAGAAAATATTATGCTATGTGAGAGAAACCAGAAACAAAAGGCCACGCACTGTATGATTCTATTTATATGAAATATTCAGAATAGGCAAATCCATAGAGACAGAAAGCAGATTAGTGGTTGCCAAGGGGAAATGAGGAGTGACTGCTTAATGGCTATGAACTTTCTTTTTGGGGTGATGAAAATGTTCTGTAATTAGTGGTTATGGTTATACAACTTTGTGAATATGCTAAAAACCGCTGAATTGTTAAAGAAAATTCACTGCATGCTTTCTGAGAATACATACATTCTGAAAGTGTAGAAACCATCAGTAATGGACGTGTTAGTTAAATCCTAAGGTATAGGAGCTAAAAATGAAAAGGAACTTTTCTAAGCCTGTGAAAAGCATTTAAATGTGGCCCCCACCTTCAGCATCCCAGAAAGGATTTATTCTTTAGATCTGCGTTGTTCAGTTGAATATTCTAAGATGATGGAAATGTTCTTTATCTGAGCTATTTAATATGGAAGCCACTAGGCATGTGTGGTTACTGGACACTTGAAATGTGATCAGTGCGATTTGAAGACCTGAATTTTAAATTGTGTTGAAATTTAAATAGCCGCATATAGTTAGTGGCTACCAATACAACAGTGCAGCTTTTGCTGCTTTGGAGGACTAGCGCCATTTTAATCGGCAGTTTGGAAGAATACTGGCGGTCATGGGAGTGGGAAAATCTATGTCTTTATGTCTCACAACCCAGATCAACCCTGTATCCACTAGAAACCCTTCGTAAGATCTCACAGCTCCCACCCTTCTCCTCTCTATGAACTCTTAATAAACTTCAGTCCATAAGACAGGGTATTAGTTTTGTCTTTATGGCAAGGACACTTCTTCCACCCCACATGTATTTATAGGCCAGGCATTTTGTGGGACATGCTAGGAACAGGAAGGATTGTAGACAATGACAGCCAAATTCTACAGGCACTGGTCTCTGAGAAAAGTTGAGAGGAAAAGGGACAAGAGAAATTCTTACAAAGACCCGGCTTTTTCCCTCCTCCCTCCAACACCCCACTCTTAGACACACACACACACACACACACACACACCACACACAACACACACACACACACTCTTCCAAGTAGGAAATCTTGCTAGTAAGATGCTGAAGTGGTGTTGAAGAATATTTAGATTTCCTGTTTCCAACTCAAGCTCTGTAACATCCTAAGTCGTTCCAATACATCCTCTGTTCATCTTTCCCATCTATGACTTTTACTGAACTGAAATCAATAACATGGAATGTAATGTTTTTCTTTTCTTTCTTTCCTTTTTTTTTTTTTTTTTGCGATGGAGTCTCACACTTGTCGCCCAGGCTGGAGTTGCAATGGTGCTATCGTCTGCTCACTTGCAGACCTCTGCCTCCCAGGTTGAAGCGATTCTCCTGCCTCAGCCTCCGCAGAGCTGGGACGTACAGGCACGTGCACATGCTCCGGCTAATTTTTTGTAGTTTCTTAGTAGAGACGGGGTTTCACTGTTGGTTAGCCACGGCATGGTCTCGATCTCCTGACCCTCGTGATCCGCGCAGCCTGGCCCCCAAAGTGCTGGGATTACAGGCATGAACCACCGCACCCGGCTGGGAATATAATGACTTTTCTACAAGTTCTTATATATGTTCTTATATAATCTGTTGGTCGTCACTCACAGGCAGATTCAATTTTGTGTGCACAAATATTTATTGAACTCACTACCACTCATCTTTGGCCAGACAGCCTCACAAGGGGTGTGGATAAAAAGGATTAAAGACAGTCCACTGGAAAACTTAAGAGCCTGATGAGGAGGCACACCACCAGAAGAAAACCATTCTAGCCACAGCCCCTGTTAGATCGTGTACGGAAGGTCGCCTGAAAGCACACAGGGGCACAGGAGGCTGGCCAAAAAAGACACCAGAAAACAATCAGGAAAAGCGCGTTCTCAGCAGGAAAGTGATACATTTGAGGAATTTGAAGGACTTAAGTCACCAAGGTCTTCAAAGTCGTTTTTAGTTAATTCACTTTATTGTACACTTCACAAAGTTACGATTTACAGCGTCAGCCTTTCCCCCAGGGACGAAGAAGTTGTTAGGACCTAAATGTGGAAACATGCCATTAACCTCAAGGTCTATCTCAACAATGTGACAACTGGGGGGGGTTTTTGGGGGGGGCATTGCTGATGACCATTTCTAGCTGGAACTTAACCCGCTTGCTGCCCTCCAACACACTTCATGCCTGCCAGAGGAAAACCAAAAATAAAAAAAAAAAAAAAAAAAAAAAAAAAAAAATCAAAAAAAAAAAAAAAAAAAAAAAAAAAAAAAAAAAAAAAAAAAAAAAAAAAAAAACAAAAAAAAAAGAAAAAAAAAAAAAAAAAAAAAAAGAAAAAAACAAAAAAAAAAAAAAAAAAAACAAACAAAAACCTAATAGAAGATAAATCTTTCTGGACATATCTTCAAGGATTTAAAATCTCTCCATGTGCTGGTTGCTGTAATCCTTCTTACTGTCTCGTTGGGGGTTATTTTCTTCTACAATTCCAAAATTGGTAGGGTCCACCCAAAATTCCAGATCACTTATTGTCCCATTGTCACCATCTCTTTTTTTTTTTTTTTTTTTTTTTTTTGAGACAAGAGTCTCGCTCTGTCACCGCCCAGGTGGAGTGCCAGTGGCCGGATTCAGCTCACTGCAAGCTCCGCCTCCCGGTTTACAGCCATTCTCCTGCCTCCAGCCTCCAAGTAGCTGGGATATCAGGCGCCCGCCAACCATCGCCCGGACTAGTTTTTTGGTACTTTTGGTAGTAGAGATGGGGTTTCACCGTGTTAGCCAGGATGGTCTCGATCTCCTGACCTCGTGATCCGCCTGTCTCGGCCTCCCAAAGTGCTGGGATTACAGGCTTGAGCCACCGCGCCCGGCCGCCATTGTCACCATTCTTACCATTTCCACATATCATCTGCACAATTATGTACTTAATTGCTTCTTTGAATTGGCTTTCATTTTGCTCAGTTTTCCTAAAAAGGATTTTTGATATCATTATCATAAATGAAAAACCAGTATAATTTGCCGTAAAGAGATCATTAATCATAAAGATCATACAATAGAAACAAAACTACACTATTTAATCTTGGCTGGATATTGTTGGTTGCTGAAGCTTCTGAGTTTGAGGCTCTGCTCTCTCTTTGATGAAAAGGGAGGTTACCACGCCTTGGAGAGAACATACAGGCACCAAATGGATCATTTCTCCTCAAGTTAATCAAACAGACTCAAAGAGAATTTTAAAGAGAATAACTCTCTCACTATATGAACCAGTGAAATTCAATTTCCCTTTTGCATACCACTTAGAACTAGCTCTTGCACCAAGTAAAATCAGTTTGTCCTGGGTACCACACTTGTAAACATTGTCTGATCCATCCCTTTCATAGCAATTGGAATGATCTAATATATAAATCTTATAATTTCTCTCTCCTATTAAAATTCCTTCAATGACTCTTTATTACCTAAGGGAAAAAATCTTAGTTCCTTATGATGAGATACAAGATCCTCCTTAATCAGCCTTAGCCTACTTCTCCAGCCTTAACTTCTGTCATCCTCCTCTTTAACTTCCTATTCCACCAGTGCTGATCTATTTGTAGTTCCTAGAACATACCATGTACCATCATGCTTCTGTGCCTTTGAACATACTCTTCCCTTTACCCAGTGTGCTATTCATCATCTACTCATCCTTATCATCTTCCATTTCTCATCTCTGCTTATTTTTATGTATCTGCCTAGTATCATATGCACACAACCAACAATAACTACAGTACAACAGCAGTCCTCTGGAAACACCTGCCCCTTTCTTCTGGGGGATCTTCCTCCACTGTCTCCAACCCCATGATTTTAGCAGGAACTGACAAGTTCTCATATGACTTCTTATCCTTGACCACAACTGATTGTCCTACATGTGGGCAACCTAACCAAGGTGAACCAATCAGATTTCCTGAGAATTTCATATCAAGAACAGCACATTTGAGTTACTCTTTCTCTGTTATAAGATGCAGAGAGAAACTGAGGCAAGTAAAGTAGACATTCTCTATTCCAGGGGTCTCTAACCTCCAGGCCGCAGACTGGTACTGGTCCATGGCCTGTTAGGAACTGGGCCACTCAGCAGGAGGTGAGCAGCAGGTAAGCAAGCATTATCGCCTGAGCTCCACCTCCTGTCAGATCAATGGTTTCTAGATTCTCATAGGAGGGTGAACCCTGTTGTGAACTGTGCATGCGAGAGATCTAGGTTGTGCGCTCCTTATGAGAGTCTAATGCCTGATAATCTGAGGTGGAACAGTTTCATCCTGAAACCACCCTCCTTTCCCCCACCCCTGCTACCATGGAAAAATTGTCTTCCACGAAACCAGTCCCTGGTGCCAGAAAGGTTGGGGACTGCTGCTCTAATCCACTTGTGCTGAAGACCAGCTATTTCCTTGCCCTTCTTTCCTTTTAGGTCATTCAACTTTTCCTTTTATTTTGTGAAAGCGATTCCGGTATCCTTACAATTAAGTCCCTTTTTCTTAAACTAGTTTGAGTTTCTGTCACTTACACCCAAGTGTCCTAATACATACCTAATTGTTCTCGAGGTCCCAACAAATGCTACTCCTTTGTGAAGGCTTCCCTGACTCCCCCAAGCTCACAAAGGTGCCCCTTCTCTTATGCCATCCTGCATTTTGTCACACCAGACCCCCTTTTTAGCAATTGTCTTGATGATCTTGACATTTTTGTGTGGGGAATAGTGTGTGCTGTCCCTGTCACCTATTTTGAGTATTTCATTAATCACCCCGATGGGAAGGCAGATTTAAAGCACAACACCCATTAACAATATGCTTTCAGAGAAGTCAATATGTACCAAGAAAAATTTTGTTTAACTATTAACTAATATTAGCTGCTCTGCTGTGAATAACTTTTTTAAAACTAAGTTTAATCCTTAAAAGGACTTTAAAGATCTACCAACTACAAGGAATTCTCTCTCCTGCCCTTCCAGGACGGAATTAGAAATGCAGAGGCTCATGACCGTGACCCCACAAAGAGCAACCACCAGGAGGGAGGCAGCACCTGGAGATGAGGGCAGAAACTGATGAGCACATGGAAGGGAGGGTCAGAGAAAAAGGGAGATCTGAGAGAAAAGAAACCCTGGGAGTCCCACCTGTCACTGAATCTCTCTGAATTAAAATACAACTTTATAAAAAGTAAATAATGTCTTCTACCATCCATGAATTTACATCTGTGATCATACATAGCTAAATAAGATTGAATTCTTTTAGGAAATTGATTGAACCTTTGTACCCTCTCAGGTGTTACTAGCATGACACAGAAGTCACATTTGTTTGCACATTTATCTCATGTCTAGACTGGAAGCTTTTTTAGACAAGAGATTCTTGCAATCTTTGAGATGCTGTTGAGCGTCTCACATAGGACCCAGCACTTAGCCCACCCTTGAGCTGGACTTTGATGATTTTAGCCTATATTTTGTAGGAATGCTTTCCAGCTGCAATTGTCAGAATTACCAGCTATAGTAACTCACAGACTAAAGACATTTCATTATCTGACCTGAACAGTCTGGACATTAGAAGTCCCAGAGTATGTTGTTTAATAATGGCAAAAGGGGCCAGGCGTGGTGGCTCACACCTGTAATCCCAAAACTTTGGGAGGCCGAGGCAGGTGGATCACCTGAGGTCTGGAGTTTGAGACCAGCCTGGCCAACATGGTGAAATCCCGTGTCTACTAAAAATACAAAAATTAGCCAGGCATGGTGGCAAGCACCTGTAATCCCAGCTACTTGGGAGAATCACTTGAACCTGGAAGATGGAGGTTGCAGTGAGCAGACATCGTGCCACTGCACTCCAGTCTGGGTGACAGAGCAAGAGTCCGTCTCAAATAAATAAAAATAAAATAAAATAAATAATAATAATGGCAAAAGGACCCTGGCTCTTTCTAGTCTCTCATCCTAGTCTTTCTGTCTCTTTATCTTAGGCTTTTTGCCTTGTGATTGCAAAATGGCTGCCACAGCTCCAGGTATCTCATCTTTAGAAAGCTTATTTAAGGAAGAAAGAAGGTGATCTGGGCTGGAAAAGAGGCTTTTTTTTATATCAGGGAGGAAAATCTTCCTACAACACCTTCTCCGCATCTGGTAAATTCTCACTTATATCTCAATAGCTAGGACTGAATCACATGGCCATGCCTAGTTGCAAGAGAGACAGGAACACGAGTTTAGTATCTGACTTTTCCAGCCTCGGGAATGAAAAGTAGGTGTATTACTGGCAATGCTGCCCTTCAACCAGACAAATGGAGCCCTGGCCCAGGATCCAGGCCTCAGAGATTCTACGCTTTGTGACCAGTGCTATCTGGGTGGGGTCAAGAACCAGACAAATGCAATGTCCTCACTTCTGTTCCCATTTCTTCACCTCGGGTCACTCTTTACCTACTACCACTCAGGTGGAGTTAACCAGAGACCCGAGGAGCTCTTGGATCTATGGGATCATTTTGGTATCTTCTGGCTGGATTCTTCATCCAGGAGGACCACCTGGAGTGTGGATTGCCTCACTGGCCTGTGAATTATTTCTTTCATTAGATCATACAAGATTGAGCTTCCAGAACCGTGCTGGGGTGCTGATTTTGGGTGATTCTCATTCACATCACACACAGGATGAGTTCGGGGCTCTGAACTATTGTTAGTTCTCTGTTCCCTGCTAACCTTCGGTGTGAGCTGCATGTGTGGGCCTATGTCCTGGTTCTAATGGGCTATATTTCAACTGCAATGCTACCTCTGGACCTGAGGGCAGCTGGGTTCGGGGAGACATCCTTTACCCTGTGCTGGGACCCGGCAGTTACCCTCTACCCCATGGGCTCTCCACCAGTTATCTAGGGACAGTCATACCTATTTCTTTCCAGGGCTTTCCAGGCCATCACCCCACAATGCCAGTGAGCCCTTCTGGTCCATGTATCCTCTCACTTCTGATCAATGGGGTGACATAATTCTCTTGTTGGTCAGTCTTAATCTTTGTGGAAAGGGATACACATTCCTTGCATGAATGAAATTACTCTTTTTTTTCTTTCTTTCTTTTCTTTTTCTTTCTTTCTTTCTTTCTTTTCTTTTTCTTTCTTTCTTTTTTTTTTTTTTTTTAAAGACACAGGGTCTCATTCTGTTTCCTGGGCTGGAGTGCAGTAGTGCAATCATAGCTCACTGCAATCTCGAATGCCTGGGCTCAAGCGATCCTCCTGCCTCAAGCCCTTTGAGTAGCTGGGATTATACGTGTCACCACATCTAGCTAATTTTTAATTTATTTGTAGAGACAAGGTCTCACGATGTTACCCAGGCTGGTCTCCAACTCCTGGCCTTCAGTGATCCTCCTGTCTCAGCCTCCCAGAGCACTGGGATTACAGGTGTGAGCCACTGTGGCTGGCCCAAGACGGCTCTTCCTGTTTGTTCTATTGTTCCCACCAGTGGCAGCGTATGGAAGGCAGCGGTTTAGCCAACAACCAGACAGCACCCTCTGGAAATGCAGTGGTTAGAACCTGAGGATCTCTTGAGCTCGTTGGAAGGGGTGTTGTTCTTGATAGGGTTGCGGGGAGATTCAAATGAGATTGTGCACCAGAGAATCCTCTGTAATCTACACTGTTACACACAGATATTAGTTATTTTATTCCCATCTGACAGACAAGAAAACCAGAAAAGAGGAAGGTTAAATTACTCCCATGACAGAAAGGCCCCATGGGAGTGCTGCTGGGAAGGGAAGCTCTGGTTTCAGATGGCCTGGGATGGCTCACTCAGCTCTGCCAGCTCCTCGCTGGGCCATCCTGGGTCAGTTTCTAAGCCCTAGTTCCACAGTTACTAAGCCGGAAGTGGAGGGGAACAATCCACCTATGTCAGAGGGTTTTGGTGAGCATTAAATATGCCTGGAACTTGATAAATATTAGCAGGTACTCAACAAATATTAACTGCTATTATTATTTTATTACACAGATATTTGTAGGAGAGCCACAGGTCTCCTGGGCCACAGCCCTGCTGTGCACTAGAAATGAGTTATGAAAAAGTACTTCCAAAATGAGATTGCCAGAGGCTGCAGCGGTATGTTAGATTGTTTGGCATTGGAGAGGCAGTATAGCAGATGGGAAACATTACAGACTCAGGAGCCAGGAGGCCTGGGGTTTGGCTCCTGGCTCAGTCACTTAATCGTTAAACCATTTAACAGGTCTTTGGCAAGTTACTTAGCCTCTCTGTGCCTCAGTTTCTTCATTTCTGAAATGGGGATATTAGCACCCAACTTATAGGTTCTTATGAGGATTGAATGAGTTAATGTACATCAAGTGTTTAGGACAGTGCCTGGGTCATAGTGTTAGGAATGATTGGATGCTATGAATTTTATTATTTTGAATTCATTTAAAATTCAAAACAAACTTTGCTCTTCAAAATTCCAATTGGTGGGCTGAGCGTGGTGGCTTATGCCTGTAATCCCAGCACTTTGGGAGGCTGAGGCAGGTGGATCACCTGAGGTCAGTAGTTCGAGACCAGCCTGACCAACATGATAAAACCCCATCTCTACTAAAAATACAAAATTAGCCAAGTGTGGTAGTGCATGCCTGTAATCCCAACTACTTGGGAGGCTGAGGCAGGAGAATTGCTTGAACCTGGGAGGTGGAGGTTATAGTGAGCCAAAATCATGCCATTGTACTCCAGCCTGGCCAACAAGAGCAAAACTCTTTCTCAAAATAAAATAAAATAAAATAAAATGGAATGCAATGAAATGAAATAACATCAAATAAAAATAAAAATAATTCCAATTGGCTTTTATTTCAAGAAATCTGCATTTTAGTGATTCAAAAGAAAAGAAAAGAAAAAAGAAAAAAAGGTAGGCACAAAGATATACTCTCTGCCTTTGTACCTTTGCTTGTGTTGTTCCCTTTGCCTGAAATCCCTCCTTTTTTACCCATAAAACCACCACATATTGTCCACTCTCCCAGAGGCCACGACTCATTCTACCACACTCTTGTCCCTCAAGCAAGACCCATGTCTCCTTTTTACTTACCTGTGTAATTCTTGACATGTTCAATAAATGTTTCTTGAATGGAAAGGTGAAAGAAAGTAAGAGACGTTATTTTCAGTTCCTGCAGTTTGCGAATGCAACACTGTAGTTCATAGTGGAGTAACGTCCTCTCTCTCAGAGAATGAAGGGATTGGCAGAGTGACTTGGGGAGATGGTGCCAGTCTCAACAGTAGGAGGGGAAAACACAAAGAATAGCAAACAACCCAGTCTTTCACTAAAAGGGGCTCCAGCCTCCAACACCATGTTTTCCTGGAATGGGGAGAAGTAGTAGCATAGAGTGACCCAGAGGGGTGCTGTGGACTCAGGACAACCTGTGTATGATGCCAATTGTGTCATCCAATGGCTGTTTAACCCTAGAACCAAACATCTCTGAGCCTGTTTTCTTGCCTGTAAAATGAGGGTAATACCAACCCCAAAGGGTAACTTTGATGATGAAATGAGATAATAGTGCAATGCCTGGCACTTAGGAAATGCTTTTATTTCATTTTATTTTTTTTGAGACGGAGTCTCACTCTGTCGCCCAGGCTGGAGTGCAGTGGAGCGATCCCGGTTCACTGCAAGCTCCGCCTCCTGGGTTCACTCCATTCTCCTGCCTCAGCCTCCCAAGTAGCTGGGACTACAGGCGCCCCCCACCACAACTGGCTAATTTTTTGTTTTTTTGTTTTTTTGTTTTTTTTTTTGAGACGGAGTCTTGCTCTGTCGCCCAGGCTGGAGTGCAGTGGCTGGATCTCAGCTCACTGCAAGCTCCGCCTCCCGGGTTCACACCATTCTCCTGCCTCAGCCTCCCGAGTAGCTGGGACTACAGGCACCCGCCACCTCGCCCGGCTAGTTTTTTGTATTTTTTGTAGAGACGGGGTTTCACCGTGTTAGCCAGGATGGTCTCGATCTCCTGACCTCGTGATCCGCCCGTCTCGGCCTTCCAAAGTGCTGGAATTACAGGCTTGAGCCACCGCGCCCGGCAATTTTTTGTATTTTTTAGCAGAGACAGGGTTTCATCGTGTTAGCCAAGATGGTCTCGATCTCCTGACCTCATGATCCACCCGCCTTGGCCCCCCAAAGTGCTGGGATTACAGGCGTGAGCCACCGCGCCCAGCCAGAAATGCTTAATTAATGTTTCTTTAAATGAATGAAGAGGGCTTTTAAAGAAAGTGCTATTGTTGAGGAAGACTGCTATCCTTGAAAGCACAGCATTGCTTGATGCTATGCTCTGTCTGTCATAGATCAGTGACTGATTCTCCAGTCATCACGAGGCCACCTCCTCAGACTCTCAGTCCGGAGTTGAACCACAACCAAGAAGTCTGGGAGGCAGTATTTGGCAACCTCCCTCCCAAACCCTTCTCCTCTCCAGCTGGCACAGAAACACTCCACATTTGCAGCTTCCACAGCAATTACGAGAACCTACACCCTTTTATTGTTTGACTTTCCCTAGCAATGGAGCAATCACATGATTTTCACAGGAAAAACAACTCTGGGATCAGAGACAGTCTGGACTGAGCCATGAACTTTCTGGTCCCTGTGTCTGAGTTCCCAGAGAGAAAAGACATTTGATGCTGGCAGAATGAAGGCTGAGCTGGACAAAAAACAGAGCCAGCACATGCTCAGAGCAGGCTGGCCAACCGAGCAGGTTGCATTTCAGGATTAAAAACAGTAACGATCCTAACAAAATAGAAGCTCATATATACTGAGTGCTAAGTACCAGGTACAGACATCGTAATCGTCACCACAATCCAAGACGAAGATTTTACTATCTTCATTACATCAAGGAGAAGTCAAGGGCTTAGCTAGCATTTCACGCCTTTTGCAGTCCCCAGAGCCTATGTGTTTATCCTCTAGCTCCGTGTCTACCTACAGCAGCAGCGCTTTCAAGCTCTTTGCACACAAATCTCCTAGGGATCTTGGAATGCAGATTCTGAGGTTCTGCATTTCTAATGAGCTTCCAGGGAATGCTGCTGGTCCAGGACCTTTAGTTGCAAGGGTTCAACCGGTGGCCTCAACCTTGGTTGCACCTTGGACTCACCTGAAAGCTTTCCACATATTGATGCCTTGGCCGCATCCTGGAAAGTCTGATTTTGTTGGTCGGGGGTGCAGCTCTGGCATAGCATTTCTAAAGCCCTCCCATTGAAGGAATATGTAGCCAGGGCTGACACCATGATTCTGGTGGGAGGTAATATCTGTAGGTTCTTGAGGATACTCCATTACCCTGAGCTCCCCTTTAGCAACCATAGGGACATCCATGACTGGGCTTCAAGGACGCCCTTGAAGAGGCCTCTCCCAGAAAACTCCAAGCCCGTGAAGAGGCCAGAGCCGCCACCTGTTTCCTTGAAATAGTTAGCAGCTGTGCTGGGTGACCTCATCGCTCTGGCTCTGCCTCAGGCCAAGCTATGATCTGGAAAGCTCTCCTCCCAAGTCAGGGCTCCCCTTGTGTTGGGGACAGAGGGGGAAGCGTTGCAGCTCAGGAGGAGCTGCAGGTTAACGGCAGAACCCATGTGGAGCTAGCAGGAAGAATGAGGGTGCAGGGTGGGGGCACCCCAAGGGACTTCACAATGGGCAGTCCCTGGGCTGTGAGGCCATGGCTGTGAGTGCAGCTGACTAACTCACCCCTGGCTTCCGCCATTGCTCACCCTCCCCAAACCCTTGGGAACTGATGAAACCACAAGGGGGAGCTCCCCCTCCTGTAAGCGATGCATAAACAAACAAACATTGAAGTATGCAAGTAAAAATGCAAAGCCCATTTCTTTTTCCCCATTTCCAAGAGGCAATCACCTGTCGCAGCTGGGTTTATATCCTTCCAAATCTTTTCTGTACATTAATATGTGTATTTCTACACACAAACATACATATGCAATCCTGGTTTATAAACAAAAATGCATCATAGAATATAAGTCCAAACACTATCTTGCTTATTTTTTCCATGCAGTTATATATACTTACCAATTGTTTTAGTGTCTGGAAACTTGTCTGGAAATCAGAATCTCTCAGGGGCACATTTTAAACATTGAGATTGACGGGTCTCACTCCAAACCTGCTGAGTGAGAATTTCTCAGGGAGGCACCTGGGGAAGTCTTTTTTTTTTTTTTTTTAATTGTGTGTGTGTGTATATATATATACACACACACACACACACATTATGTGTATGTGCATGTGGAGAAAGCGAGAGACAGAGAGAAACAGGGTCTTGTTCTGTTACCAAGACTGTAATGCAGTGGCACAATCATAGCTCACTGCAGCCTCAATCTCTTGGGCTCAAGTGATCCTCCCACCTCAGCCTCCCACGTAGCTGGAACTACAGGCATGCGCTACCACACCTGGTTGTTTTTAAGTTTTTTGTAGAGACAGGGTCTTGCTATGTTGCCCAGGCTGGCTTCAAACTCCTGGCTTTAACTGATCCTCTGACCTTGGCCTCCCAAAGTGCTGGGATTACAAGCATGAGTCACCATACCTGGCCTATATTGATATTTTGAATAAGTGTCTCAGGTGATTCTTATGGGAAATATCTTGCCTTTTGAATGCCTGTACATGTCCCATGGATGTACTATCATTTATTAACCAGTTCCTTTCTGTTGAACATTTAGTTTGTTTTCAGCTTTTTTCTTCATGCTATAAATAATACTACAAACATACACGCATCGTACAGACCCCCATGTGTGTTTCTGTAGGATAGTTCCCTAGGAGTGGATAGCTAAGTGCAAGGCTTACCTGGAACTTTTTTCCCCCTCTAAGACTGCTCATGTTTGAATCATGGAACCTCATAGCAGGACAGAACCTTAAAATCTGTGTAAAGACCAATACTGTCCTATAGAAATATAATGTAAGTTGTACATATAATTTGAAACTTTCAGTAGCTACATTAATTTTAATAATATATTTTTACTTAACCTTATATATCAAATCTATTATGATCTCAACATATAATGAAATGAAAAGTATTAATGAAAATACTCACTATGGTTTGAATGTTTGTTTCTCCTCAAAATTTATATGTTGAAATCCTAACCTCCAAGGTGATGGTATTAGAAAGTGGGGCCTTTGGGAGGTGATTAGGCCATGAGGGTGGGGCCCTCAGAATGGGGTTAGAGCCCTTATAGGAGAGGCCTGTAATCCTAGTACTCAGGAGGCTAAGGCAGGAGGATCACCTGAGGCCAGGAGTTGGAGATCAGCCGGGGCAACGTAGCAAAACTACATTTCTATGAAAATAAATCAATACACAAATAAATTTTTTAGAAAAGTGGCACGAGGCTGGATATGGTGGCTCATGCCTGTAATCACAGCACTTTGGGAGGCCGAGGTGGGCGGATCACCTGAGGTCAGGAGTTTGAGACCAGCCTGGCCAACATGGCAAAAACTCATCTCTACTAAAAATACAAAAATTAGCCGGGCCTGGTGGTGTGTACCTGTAATCCCAGCTACTCAAGAGTCTGAGGCAGGAAAATCACTTGAGCCCAGGAGGCTGAGGTGGGAGAATGGCTTGAACCACGGAGGCGGAGATTGCAATGAGCCATGATCACACCACTGCACTCCAGCCTGGATAACAAAGCGAGACTCTGATTAAAAAAAAAAAAAAAAAGAGGCCTGAGAGAGACTTCCTCACCCTTTCTACCATGTAAGGACAGAAAGAAAAGGTGCCATCTAGGAAACAGAAAGTGGGCCCTCGTCAGACACAGAATCTGCTAGGGGCCCTGATCTTGGACTTTCCAGCCTCTAGAACTGTGAGAAATAAATTTCTGTTGTTTATAAGCTACCCAGTATGTGGTACTTTGTTATAGCAGCCTGCGTGAACTAAAACAATATTGTCCATCTGCTCTTCCTGTGAAGTCTTTGGAGAGTGTGTGGGTTTCACACTTAGAGCATGTCTCACTGGGACCAGCCACATGGGACAAGTAACTGTTGTATCGGGTAGTGCAGATCTAAACCTTTTATTTTACTTGGAGAATATTCATAGGGGACAGGAACAAACAATCATGGAGCAGCTACAATCTACTTGTCCCCGAATAAGCACTTAACATCCATTATTACTGCGCCCCTGACTTGCTGCCCGGAGTCCCTGTCCATTACTCCCGGTTTGGAATGATCCGTCTCTGCCTGCAGAGCTGCAGACGTGGCAGGAGACAGTTGGGAGGGTGGGGCAGGGTGCAGGCAGAGTTCTGGACAGGGATGCAGGGCAGCGCCTGGGTGAGTGAAGCAGCTTCTTTGTGAGCCCTCGTAGAAGCTTGGGGGTGGGGGCAGTATAAGGAAGGCAGGGCATGGGTAATTATTATGCTCATTATTTCAACTTGAGGTCTGTAATTTGCCAGCATCACACAGCCACAACACAAAGGCAGAAATGGAATCGAATCTTCAGATTCCAGAGCCCATGCTTCTCTTTTATCCCATAGATGTCTCCAAGATAGTCATTCAAAGGCTGTCCTTACATTAGTGATACACGGAGAGCTGTAAACAAATTAACTGAATGATTACAAGTCACATTGTCAAACTATTCTGAACGGTGTCCCACTCCGCAAACTTGTGGTTAAAAACATAGGCGCTGAGGTCCCCTGTTGGAAGTCAGAGTTATTGCAAGGGGCAGGCAAACGGGTTTGTGGCTTTCCTAGTTCATTACCTGAATACTTAAAAATAGGACATGACATGAATGTCCTTCAAATTTTTTTTCAAAAAGGACCTAATACTCGGCAAGCATTGGAATCACTACAATACATTCTCCCATCTCAGACTGTCAGAGGGACGGTCCCAAAGAGATCTCAGCTGCAGGTTCTGCTTCAGTTACATCATTTTTTGGGTAAGTATGTTCAGCTGTACATGGTTGTATCTCAGTTTCTAAGTTTACTGTGTGTGTTAATGTGCCTGTTCTCCAGCTAGATTGTCAGCTGATCAAAGGAAAGACTCAAACCCCTAGTTTAAGGCCCTGCACATTCTCAGTTCTTAAATGATTACCAATGACATTAAACCAATGTTGTTGATTGCCTGAGTAAAATGATATAAGAGCACAAAATGAATTTGGTATTAATAATGGATATCTATGGCTTTCGCTGTTCAGGGTCCCCCCCTTACCTTTTTTTGAGAGTCTCGCCGTTGCCCGGCCTGGAGTGCAATGGCGTGATCTCGGCTCTCTGCAACCTCTGGCTCCTGGGTTCGAGGGATTCTCCAGCCTCAGGTTCCCGAATAGCTGGTTCTACAGGCACCTGCCACCACACACAGCTAATTTTTGTACTTTTTGTGGAGACGGGGTTTCACCATGTTGGCCAGGTTGGTCTCGAATTCCTGACCTCAAGTGATCCACCCGCCTTGGCCTCCCAAAGTCCTGGGAATACAGGTGTGAGCCACCACGCCCGGATGTTCTCTTTCTTTTTCTTTGGGCTGTAGCACCTGGATTCTCTTTTCCTCCCACAATCCACAGTTTTTGTGAGGCTGCCAATCAAGTGCCCCGCCCTCCCTGGCTAAGGGTTGGGCCTAGAGATTTGAATCTTAAATAGAATTGCTGCCTCTTACAAGAAGTGCTGCCTCTTCTCCATCCGTGGTAATAATAATTTCAATTAAATAATCAGCCCTGTCTGCATATTCAGCTTTTCTTTGTGTGATTCTGGGACCTACCCCATACCCTAATGATAAATTTCTTTATCATTGCACCTAGAATAAATCTGACAGATGGCGTTTCACATTTTTACTTAATTCTGCTTCAGTTTGGAAATTTGCACGTTTTCATAAGCATCAAAGAAATGGAAGACTTCCATTTGCTAAGTGTATAACTAGCTATTTTTCTCTAGGGGGCAAAATGACAACCAACTAATTAATAAAAATTGTGTTTTATAAATCTTATGCAACAATTTGATAATCTCTAAGGGTTTGGGTACCAGCAAGAGCTATGAAGAGAGAACTTTATGAAGCAAGTGAAACAGCTTTACACTGGCACCTGTTCAAGCCAGAAGACTAGAATTCTAGCCTCCTGTTGCTGGAGCCTGGTGTTGCACGGTAAACCTTTGACCATTAACAGTGGTTGTAGAAGACCCACTTGGGGAACTGGTTTCTCCACTCCAGAGAGCCTCTTAGAGGGTCTGCTGCTGCTCTGACCCCCATGACCCCTGCACCCACTGTGGCCTCCCTTTTAACCAGCCCTGGGATCCTGACTCACCATAACCCCCACTAACCTCAACACCTAAACAGAAAGGGCCATATCCTCTTCTTTACCCACAGATCCCCAGAGTGTCTCTCTGCTCTTGGCTGGACCACACAGCCTAGAGGGAGGTCTGAGTTCATCCACCCGAGTCAGGGTGGTAGCACTGAGTTATTTTTGA